CATAGAAAGTCTGTTGCAATCGCTTTAATAGCAAATATATTAGTTGGACTTCCATCAGCTTTAAATCTTAATATTTTAGCAAATCAGGTAAGCAGTAATTATAATGAAATTTTACATTAATTATTACATAACTTTTAAGTGTAAAATCAATAATCAAACGTTTTATTATGAAACATTTTCAGGTATATGATTAATTTGTTGGTACGAATATCTAAAGGTGAACTTGACAATTAGTCAATTTAAGCACTTACATGTTGTTTACTATACTTAAAAATATCTATATTACATGTTTGTTCTATAATTCACTGCATTCTTAACAATATATACATAAGTGAAATAATGCATGAATATGAGATTAAGTAGTTAGGACACTAAGAAATTTAGACAAAATCTCTAATTAAGTAAGAAAGACTGAATGATAAATATATAATACGAAATGATTATCATTAGCGTGGATCTTTATTTCAGGCTGAAACTTTGATTTTTATTTATCATGTTAACTTAAAATAATCTTTTTTTTTTAAATTTTTACCATCCTTTAGAAGTTTCCAATCTAGTCACCTAGATTAGTCGTCACATTGCAACTTTGTCGATAGCATTAAACCTGAAATAAGAAGGACTTGACACACATGACATTGATTACCGTCCAGTGATCAATCAATTGTTATTTTGACTAACTTTCATCTGATCTAAACATGAACAATTCATAATAGTGCAGATCAAAATTTCAAAAATTTATTGATCCCTATAGGTTTAGAGATAATAATTTCATCTGAAGAGGAATGTATAAAACGAAAATAATAACATTTCTAGCATCATCGACTGATGATTTTTTTTTGCATAATGACAACAGAATCTTTCCATTTAGATAATTAAGTTGACAGACTATAACAGTTTCAAAATAATATCCTAAATGGGATTTGTAAATTGAGCATTGTATCAAAGTTTTTTGCATACTCTTTGTAAAAAAATCTAGAATTATTAATGTTGAGCAATCCAAATCATTTTCTTATCTTTACAGAAAGAAAAAAATTCTGTAACACATGACTTCTAAAATAGATTTAACCATGTATAATTTTCGCTAGATAATCATGTTTGTTGCTAAGTAGAAATTATTCAAAATGTTAGTTAGTAATTTATATTATTTCTATAGATATTAGCTTTTAACTTTGTTCTTTTTTATTACTTTAGGATAATGTATGGGGTATTGCATTGTTAATATCAGGTATACTGATGGCCAGTTTAGTTATTCGATACGGACCAATGAAGTATCGTCGATATATAGTTAATGAATTTGGTATAGATGATTGGAATTTACCGAAAGTATGGATATTTATGATAACGTTAGTTACATTTAATTAATATTGGTAGTAACAGTCAGTAGATATGACCCAAAACAACATAATTTATACACTAATATTTTTTTGTAAACATGTTCATTGTGATGGCAATTAATTAACGTCTTGTAATGAAATACATTAATGAGTATGATCTATTCACAAACACTGAAAACTATCAACTTTTGAATGTAATATAACCATTAAATCATTTACATACATGGAATTCACACTATACATTTAAATTTTATTATTTAACTGATCCTAATTATCAGAATGTCGATTTTCAACTTTATTTCAACATGATTTAGTTGAATGGATAAATAGAAGATAGAAGGGTGGGAGTTAGGATATCTCAAACATTTTTAATATATGTATATAAATAGATATTTCTGAAGATAAATGATAATATTCCCTGTAAGACTTCAAGTTGAAAAGTAGCACATCAATTTGAGATGGTGGAAATTTGTATCTCAGGCGGATAATTTTGATGGAGTTTTGTTCTCCACCATCTCAAATCATATGAGCGTAGTAAGCTTTACATTGTTTGAAAATGGGAGAATTTAGCCAAAAAGCTAGCTTCCACTCGTGAACGACTGTATTTTCTCCACGAATCTCTTTGCAACACGTTCTATCAATAAGTGTAGGATACAGACCTCCAATCGACTGCCCAATTAGATGGAGATAGCTGAGTAAAGTGGAAGAAAAACGGTACACCTAATAATCATGACCAAACCATCTAGCTCAGAGAAAAAAACTCCACCAAAAACATTTTCTAATTGTAATCTCCCATTGAATATCTATTAGAAAATTTCTGTGATCTCATTCACTGTGTAAGTTAACGAATATTTATCAGCTCTCATATTTGCAGCACGACTGTACGGAAGAGCTTTGATTTTTGACGAGGATTTTCAATTCCAAAGACGTGTGTTATAATAAAAAAATTTTAATTCAAGAAGGGTAGTGATCCAACAGTTTTATAGCTATCAGTTTCATTTAGTGTTAACTCAAATGACATTTATCCTAAACCAAGGGAGAATTCACCGTTGTTTGTGCTATCTAGGGAAATAGTTGGTTGCGCTCTAGTTTGAAGATTGGCATTCATATTAGTCTGTATTGATACACTCTCTATTTGAGTGCTAATGAAAGCCTTGGACTTATTTAAACCAATATGACTACAACAAATATTTCGATAGTACTGTGGTGCGTGCTACTTATATAGATATAAGTAGTACATGACGCGAGTTAAAACGTAATGTCTGGCAGCAGAAGATGAGGGGAAGATCAAGAAAAGAAGAGCGAGAACACAATGGAATTTGTAAGAAAACGCATGAACAATGGAATGGGAGACAATGAACTGGTGTTTGCAACAGAAACAATCCAGTTTTATATGATGCATTAATATTTTGCAAATTGACGATTTACTATATGGTATTCAGATTTTATTGAGATAGTCTGTCATTTTTGTGCTAAAACATATTCATTTCACAGATACTTTTATGGATTTCACACCATAACCAACTTTTCCACAAAGATTCTTTATAAAGTAATTCAGAAATCATCCTTTTCTAAATAATGTACCCCTAGTTTTTCTATTGCCAATCGGTATCAGTCAACATGGTTGTGGCTGTAAACTGGCTTTCATTTAGTTATCATTTTCAAAACATAATATTACTATACTTATTTCATAGAATGAAATATAATTTGTGAACACAGTGATTTCGTCAAAATCGGTACACAGTAAATATCCAAGTTAATTCAAAACATATTTTCATTCTAAAAACATTTAACAGATAACACTATGATTATCGAAGTCTAAACATAGGGATTTTACAAAAAGAAATTTCAGTACAAAAGTAACTCAGAAAGAGCATACAGAGGATAAGTTGAACATAAAACGGCATTTCCCCCAAGAACGATAGTTCAATACATATTATAACACATTATTTTATGGTAAATTGTTTAAAGTCATATAATTATCTAATATGTAATATCAGAAGGAGTTTTTGTGGATATTATATTCATTTCAATAGTTGAGATCATGAGTCAACTGAAGTTAGGTTTTCCATGGTGGTCTAGCTTCAATTGACTCACGATCTCAACTATTGAAATTAATACATAATACATTGAATGTCTTTTATTTTAAAAATGTAAACGTAAAAACTTTAATTCACAACTGAATTTGATTATATATTGCACAATTATACATTTCTTTTAATTACGTAACATTACTCATCTCTTTTTTTCATGATAAACATTAGTATTCTTGTACCATTACAAGGAATCATTCTAATTATTTGGTGGATTTATGATATGATCGCAAGTGATCCACATTGGTATATGTTCACGTATGAATCTGTTACATCGTTGTGTGTTGAAGTAAGTTATTAAATTTATGTATAATAGCCTTGAAAATTATCAATGGTTTTAGTTAATCCCGCATCCATTTTTTTCAAAGAATTTTAGAGTTATGGAGCAGGCATCGATAATTTGTTTGAGTTGATTGGTTGGTGTTGTCGAATTTAAAAACAACTGATATTTAGTTTTCCTTATAAAACAATGATTATTGTTAACAGTTTAGTAAAATATGAAATTAACTCGATAAAATCCCAATGTGATCATTAGTGGTAGTGACTAGATATTGTGATACATTTTACTAGATTTAAAGTAATTGAAAGCATTTAATAATTCTAGTTATCTCCTGATAATCAACACTCATTGAAATATACGAAGAGGTATGAGATCTCTTTCGTCTAGTTCCCTATATGCGAAGCATGATCTTAGACAGATGTATATCGGTTAAAATTAACTATGCCACAATAATACCGGTTGACGAAAAAAACAAGCTGAATTGCAAAGTATTTGAAAGAATAGTAAAATTGATAGTAAAAATGACTGAAGATAGAGACTACAGGACAAAAAATCCTGATGTGTTTGTTGAATAAAAGTTTGGAACAATATTGAACATCAGAATATAGAAGAAAAGAAAGAATGAATCTGTCAGTCGATCACGAGGCATATTACCTATAGCTTCCAATAATGGTTCATTATTATAACTATCACAATAATCAGATATTTTTTGCCTGTCAACGTGGCTCAGAATGACAGTCATTTATTTTGTGAACTGATATCGTGCCTTGATGTATCCAACCACCCTCCTCCAGACTTCTATTGTCAGTACCAACTAGTATGAAATCTGGAATAAGGATGTAGAATGTTCTCTATTTTGAATATTTGAAACGCACATAAGCCTCTCTTTTAAGCAACAGACTAAATGATATTAAAAACTGTGTATTATTTATCAGTAATGTATTCATAAAATCGTTTTTTTCTTCAAATCTCATGTATATTCAATGTAGTGGATGACTTTGTTAGCTGCATTGATCGGGATTAATGTAATTGCATTATGGCGAAAGTGGTCAATATTTCCTGTTGCTAAAACATATGGAAACAATCCTTACGAACTAGACTTTTTGAAAACGTTCACTGATTTATGATTTTTTGTAGTGATACATTAGTTAAAAGTAGTACATATTTTTAAGTAAAAATATTGTTAGATTGAAAAAAGGTTACTAGTTTTTGTACACTTGCCTTCCAATTATTATAAAGAAAATTAAAAAGAAATTTCTGCTTAAAAAATCTTTATTCTATCGTTGAGAGAATTTAAACTTTAAACATTTCTTTTCACTCACAGTTATAGATTTTTGAAAGGAACCTATTAGATCCTTTAGTATCATTTCATAAGTGTTGATTGTACTATACCATCAGAATAACCAGCAGTGAAAAAAACGAAGTTAATGTGACTAGAAACAATTTAATTGAAAGAATCATTGTCAAATTAGGGGAATATACAATGCTTTATACTGATCAATATCATTTTGCCAAGATTGATTTTTCACTTATAACCGAGTACAAATAGTGCTACCATCAATATTATTATTTAATTCTTTATTGATAATACTAGTACTTTCCATTTGTTCGTCTGTATTTTCATAAGTTGCTGGATTATACGGATCACAACCATGAGCTTTATTTAAAGCTTTACTGAGTATATTTGTTCGATAAAGTATCCAGTTTAAAATTAATAGGCCAATCACGGCGACGAACCACTGAAACAAAAGATTTTAAACCAAAGATAGGATACATTGATATCTGAAAAAAATTCTTTTAACAAAATTTACTTATAATCTTTACTATAAAGTTTGATGCCTATTATTCAAGTCATTATGTGAAATCTTGGTTGGGGTAGTTGGAGTCGGACAATTTTGCTTAACTGAACAAGCAATCAATTGACTCAGAGTCTATAAATAGTATATACATTTAGCATACTTTCAAAAGAAAATCTAAAACGCGTATTTGTATTTAAGAGTATATTTATTACGAGACAACTGATTTGGATTCTTATATATATATATATATATATATATATATATAAGCAGGACGTCTATTTGATTGTTATTATCATAACGGAGTCGAGAACAAATTATCCTGCTAGCTGTTTCTATATACTAAGAAAGGCTTAGAAATATAGTTCTAAGGCAGCATAATTCTCAATCGACTGACATTGAGACAAACAAAAAAGCACCATTTGAATTTCGCCTCTTCTTAGTTGATAGTGAATAGTAAGTTTTAGTATTTGCGAAATTAATGAGTGGATTATTTTCATGAATATTTATTAACAAATTTTTGAAAACATTATATCACCTCATCATTCGAAAAAACTCAGTAATGTATAAAAATAAAATACTCATACTCGATTGACATACTTCTAACAATGTTGTTAACAGTGATGTCCAGTTTAGATGATACCAATTTGGATCGGTAGTTATGGATTCATACATCCACCAGCCTAATAGTACAACTGATTGTAAGGGGACTAAAAATCTAGAAAAAAACATACGTTTTTAAATAAACGAGACCTAATAAGTTCAAATTAAGAACATAATGAGTTTACAAACCAGTTATTGAGTTTTACAAAAGGGAACTTTTCTTATCATACACTGATACTGAATCACTAAAAACATATCCATTAACGCACTAGTCAAGTATATTCTTAGAATAAATTGGTTTGTAAATGACGGTTTAATGCTGTTTATATATATATATATATATATATATATATATATATATATATATATATATATATATACGTTTTGATTTGTTTGTTGTTATCGCCCGCTTCTGGCTGTTTGCGGAATATACTTTCCCATTCCAAGCTTGGTCGTCTTCCTCTAGTTAGAGGGGCTGGGGTCGCATCGAATAGCTAGCTGATTGGTTTCGGTCACCGAGTATTTGTTTCCGTTCGCAGTCTAAGTGAACTCGTAACCGCTTCAAACTTAGCACATAAAAAGACAAGTTTATTCTATGATGTAACTATGATGGATGGCAAATATCTTGGTAAATCTTATGCGCATTCATAAGTGAGAATTGTTGAGTAATATCAAAATAAAATAAAACAACTGTCTATCACATTTTGAGCTTCAATAATACTTCAGATAATTTTGATCAATGACAAAATCTCTTTCAAACATACCATCAAATAAAATGTATTTAATGTGCGCAATATTAAAATTACTCTATGGTTATTCTAATCATTTAAATTTATACTGCTATTCTATAGAATCTATGTAATCTATGTAAAATGTAATGGATTCTAAAATCTTTCAAGATATGTCTATAATATTTGTTTGAAAGCATCGAAAATACTCATTACCTTGAATTTAATGTCAAGGAAAATTAAAAAAGAATATTTGAAGGCCATTTATATTACTGAATTAAATTCTTAACAATGCTTATATAGTATTACTTACTTGAATCTTCCCATTGATATTTAAGACTGCAGTTGACCAGTCTCTTAAGGATACATGTGTATACTGTAAGTAATGCCTAAATACTACCTTAATTCACAATCATTCTAAGCAAAAATGGATAGTAGCTAGCAGAAAACAATACCAAATGTATTTAAACTTCACCCCATCGCACAAGCAAGTGTCTATCAGGACTCAGTAGCTAAGTGGATAACATGATGGGGTTTGAAGCGAGTTCCAGAGTGAAAACCAACTCTGAGATGCAGGCACGTCCAGCTGACGAGTGCCAGATAGGACGAAGCGCGCGTCCTGTATTCCATTACTGGCCACTATCCATATTTGCATATAATGTTTATATAGATTAGTAAACCTGAATTCATGCAATAAAACCATTAGTTCATTTGAATAAGCTTAGATTGTCAACGCAGTAAAACATGAGATATTATGTGCTTATGTTTTTATTATTATGATTATTATTATCAAATTACGTGAAAGATGCAGTTAACAGTCATAACTATTCACTTAAAGCAATTAGATAACTGGAAACATTGTTGAAATATATGCTGCATTAGAAAATAAGTAGCCTAGATGTTTGATAATAAAAAGCTGATAAATAAGAAATTTTCGCTGCTAGATATGTGTAATACATTAATGTAATAAATACACGGCTATGTGAGTACTGATAAAAGTTAATATGACAAGCCATTTATAATGGATGCAGTCATGTAATTGTCTGACTGACCAACTGACGCATATACATCATTTTGACAAATATATATTTAAGTAAACTATGTAGACTATTGGCTGTATCGTCCATAATAGAAGTTAAAACTGGAATCAATAATTTTATAAAGTGTTACTTATGCAGTAAAGTAACTTACGCTATAAGTGGAACCCAAAAAATTGGTAAATGACAATCATTTATACCAAATTCATTAATAAGAACACGTCGATAACGATTTGGACCATAAACAATAACTAATAGACAGAATAAAAATCCAGAAATTACAAGTCCATATCCCCATGTATTATCCTAAATTATAAGAAAAATAAAATAAAATTTTGAAATGTAAAGGATTTGCAGTTAGTTTAAAACTACTTTTACTTTAGTATGCACCAGGGAATTAGACAATCATTGGAAAACATAAAGCACTAGACAGCTATTTAGTTCTAGTAGGAAAATCTTCAGAAGTTCACTCATAATATTGAGGTGGGCGCTTTTACTTTAGATCAATGAACCGGAAACTAGTGTTTTATATATCTAAATTAAATTGATTCGCATTATTGTACAAGCATGTTCCATCGCCTCCTACTAGACATAGTTTGACTCCACTAATCATGACATCGCGCTAGATTTTCAGGTATCATCTCTTGAAATTAATTACTATTTAGTATATTTTTTCGCACAAACAATACACGTACTTACTTGATTTGTTAAAAAGTCAAGATACATTGCTGAAGGTATACCAATAAGAGCTGATGCAATTAAGGCAATAGCAACGGCTAACCGATGAGGTACTGAAAATAAATAAGGATAAGAGTTGAAATCAATTTAATTATTATTGAAAAAACTGAATTTTATGAACTATGCAAACACTACTGTTATAGTCTACACGAATCAGTCCCATTCATATTATTTACAATGATGACTTTATTTACTTGTGGTCAAATCAAAGGATTTTGGTGGTCAATTCTTAGCTAGGATTGGTATTTACTTCACTGTTCAGACAAACTTTTTGTAGAATGACAAGATAGTTTTATTAGCATGAATTACATTAAAAATATTGTGAGGAAAGCATAAGGAAACTCCTTCTGCTATTTACAATGACAATCAAGCTATTCATTTTATAATTATATAAAACTATACTTTTTGATAAATCAAGGTAAATTATGTAATCCGTAGTATTTCCTTTAGTGACAAGCATAACTAATAAGCTAAAATCTGTTTTATGCATATTTTGATCATTTTAGATAATACAGATATTTATTCTAATAACCGCCTTCCAGAATATGTACGTCTTATATGATTCATAAAATGTCCAAGTCTGTCTATTCATTTATAAATTATTAGCATAATGTCACATTAAGTCCGGATATTGGCACGCGTTACATTCATATCTTACCGACGAATTTCCAATTCTAACACTTTGAAAATTAAAATTTAATAACACTTTCACGATGTGAATCGAAGCTTATTTGATACTTCTATGTATCCGCTATAAAAATGAGATGCAGATTTATGCACACATAAATGTATAAACTAAAATATCGTAGCAAACAACGAAAAAGTTCTACATTTAGTGATCATGTGTAGTTAAATTGGTTACGTTTATGACAAAAGACAATGGATTAATTCATGTTTACATCCCTGAATAAAAATTGGTTCTTAGAAATTTAACTCAAGTTCGATTGTTTTTATAAACAATGTCTTATCTGGCATTATGAGAGAGTAAAAGTATTACCCTGTGTGACTTTAACAGTCAGTTTTACACGTCATAAGATGGGATAAAACCAGTTGTTAGAGTTGCGAGATCTGACTTGAAACTCTGTTCTTAGGAATCATTATCTTTACTTATTTTCTGAATCAGTAACACTTCTAGTTATCTATGCATTCATAAACAAAATTGTCCAGTGATATTGAGCAAGGTATTCCACAAGAAATATCTTTTTAAAACTAATGGTTTATGCTAGTACTTATACTGTTATTAACCTATGGAGAGAATACGCAATACAACCTTGTCGTAGGTTTATTAAGACAGCTGTGTTTTCATTACAGCTATCAAACTTTTGATCAATTTCTGAACACTTGTTGCAGTATTATAGTATCACTCATCATAAGTAAACAAAAATATCCTCAATTATAAAAGCAAAAAGTAAATATTTAATTAGAATACTTAGGAAATATTCATATTACAATTCAGAATAATGCATGTGAAAGATATAGCTATTGTCAATGACACAGTAGAATTATTTAGATAATATTAAGTTACATTTAATCATTAACTAACCATTCAATTCTTTCATTGCAAGTACACCTATCTGAGTAATTGACAGTAATGAACTTATTCCAGCACAAACTAGGCATAGGAAAAACATTGCGCATAGAATTCGACCAAATAAACCAAATTTAGAAAATAAGACAGGTATCCTAGCACGAAAGTAAAATGAAAGATCAAGTAAGCATAACTTTTAGTGAATGAAGGTCAGAATGATAAAATTTAAATATTGGCTTCACTGATTTATTCTTTCGTAGATTATTCTCTTACAAAATATTTATCTTATTTTTGAGATGAACTTTTATTTATTTGTAAAATATACAGGATTTCTAAAGAGATATGACGTTAGAGAGAGCAGTTTTTCATAAGGATATTATTATTTTTAACAAGCCGACGACATCTAAAGAAGCACTGAGAGCCTGAGTGAGCACTAGACAAGGTTTCATCCTGATTTAAAACTCTTTAACAGTATTTGTTCTTCATTCTGAGCAAGATTGAGCCCATGACTTTCAAGTTTGATAGCTGACAATGCATCTATAGAAATCTAAATCTTTGTTCCAAAGTCCATCTTTGAAACATTGTTTTAGCCTGATCCTGACTCGAATATTGAAGTAGTTAGAATATTACTTCAATTTAAGCCATATTAATCGTCAGTAAAACATTTTGTTAATTACAACAACCTTATTATACATTTGAGTTTTGCACTAAGTAACAATAAGTGTCTGTACTTTTCACGCCGAATATCACAATAACTACAAATAGGCGTCAATAAGAGTACTTACCAAGTAAAAGTAAGTCCTGTACTTCCAGGCCCAGAAGTCTTTATAAGTTTTACAATTGCTGAGCGAGTAACTGTAGGACTTGTTTGTATGACTGTCGAAAACACTGTTGAAAATATCGTTATAGATGCATATAAGCTAGAATAAAAGTGTACACACAAATGGAGGTTAGATTAAATAGAGAAATCATTAAAATGAATAAGGAATACAATGTTGAACGAGATTTCTTACAAGTAAAATTGATATTAACTATTTTTTAACTCTAGAAATCCCATAATTCTTTGAGCATTATCTTTGTGTTAACTGTTATTCCAACATGATCCCTTCACTCCCTTCATTCTAAAGATATTTGGAATTAAAATTAGAACAAAAAGTTTGTTATTTGTCACAAAAGATATTGATTGCAGTATGCTCAATTTTCAATATAAGTATTTCACTCAATAACATATTTGTGACGATGATTTTAAGGTATAGATAGAAGAAAGAGGCTGAAGAAAGACGTATTGATTTGAATATCTTGAAAATAGATCCTCATATAGTATGACGTCTGTTGACTACATTAAGACACTTGACTGCTAGTTAGGTCTCAAGTGAACCTCAATTTTCTAAGATTGTACCTCATTATAATGTGAATCAGAAGTACGTCACGAACTTCGTTATACCAGTTCCATATCTTTATCAATTTCAATACTATCATAATGAAACCATTCTAAAGAATTAACACAAGAAAAGTCGAATTTAATCTTGATTTTTACTTCAATGATTAATTTATGTACATTGCATGAATGTTGCCCTTAGGAACTATAAAACAATATAAAGAAATGAAAAGTCAGTATGATTCATGCTTATGAATTTTGTGAATTTCTATCATCTAATCAAGTGAATCAGTTAAAAATCATTAAGTAGCATGTATTTCCAAGGAGACCTGAAATACTTCCGGTGAAAAAATGCAATTGAGAACCACAATTATGTACTATTGGTTGTCGTTCTTCTGTACTAAAGAACTAGCCAATTTAAGTGATCATGTTTCTACATAACAATGCTGTAATATCACATCTTAAACATAAACCTACGTATTTGACAAGCAATTATAATTGAATCACTCAAGTAAACAATAAATTATAGAATATTTTGTAGGTTAGAATCAAGAAGCGATAAAAAGTTCATTTTCAACGATCTATCAGTTCTCTGATGATAGACTACTGCTATGGGAAACGAACTGCTTGCTCAAACAAACTAAAATCGATAGGTCCTCTTTTCTCAGTAGCTCCAACTGCGTTTACCACTTTATATGTACATCCCAAAGCACATGCATTGGGAGAACTTACAGAAGAGTACATGTCACATTTCTGAGCATGTTCCAAAGAAATTGAGACTGAGAGGGACGAGAGCTCTCAACAGTGCAATAACCTGGGATTTACTTGACACCAGGCATATCATTGACATTCCTCATGCTTTTAAAATTATTAGCAGACAAAGAAATACTGCTTCTTCTCGGTTTGCTGAAGTGATCGCGATAAAAATACATAAACCTGAACTTTGTACTCAAAAAGAGACAAAAATATACTTATAACTACCCTGATGATTCAATTTTTTTAGTTATCAGCTTTATTTTCTTAATGCTTAGTTTGTGTTATATTTCTCTTCCATTACCGAATTCTTAAACCACCCCATCACACATAGATTTCCACTCACTTGATTCTCTTAAATTATGTGAACTTTTCAAATTCTATTCAATTATCATGTAACTCATCAGTTTTTAATTTCGTGAATCCTTCATTACCTCTAAAGTTATCACACAGTTTATCTTATCTGCCTCTGAACTCCCCTCAACAATTACATCACCCATCCCTTATGTTTCCTTGATTCTAACACCAAATAATTTCCGACCTGTTCTTCCACACTATATATATAATTATTATTGATAACCCTTGCCATTCCAATTCTTTACATACACTTATGCCAGTTGCATCATACTATTTCTTACCTCAATGTAGAATTCTAATACATATATGGTTGTTAGCAGCTAATGAGAAACCACGAAATACAATGAATTCATATTATTCTGCATCAATGATTGTTCTGGCTTTATTTAAAGTTATTTTAATTACAAGAATTTTTCTTGAAAACTTGCTTTCGAATAAAATGCATATGAAAATCAAAACCTCTTCTTTACTTACCTTACAAGATTATTTATTATTGGGATAAGAAAACTGTAAGCTACTATTCTAGAATCTCTTGACATAAATGTAGAATAGGTTGTCATTATACCCATACCAGAACTTGTATCAAAAGCATTTTGACCAGCAGCTGCAATCCAAAGATTGGGATATGTAAGAGTGCCTGAAAACAAGAAATTAGACATCAAATTTGTGTTGTACCTAGCTTAAATTCAAAAGTAAAAATGTATATTATATGCTCTTTTGTCTGAATTTGATTAAATAATATAATGAACACTTGATGCCAAGTATCTGTAAAGTTGTTAATAAATAAGCTTTCGGAATAAAACTGTCTTTAATTTCTTTCGTGATGTCCAGATAACCGCAGAAAACACTAGGGCGTTTTTTACTTTTAGTTATTTTGCCTCTCAATAAAAAAATTTATATATAGTGACGTTATTTAATGTCTGAAATCAATGTATCAAATGAATTACAAGTTAGTGATAGGAAAATCATAAATGATCAAGAACCTTATCTCTAGTTCTCCTGTGCAGTAAAACTCAATTTTAATTTCCTAAGTGGTATTTTAGTGAACCTGTTATTGAAAATGTGAATCCTTTTAACTGCATTCGTATTATCTTAGAATGATTTTCAATATGAATTATAATATACTTGTAGAAATGACGTAGGCATGATAATCTATACGTTATTCTCCTGAAGAGAAATTAAAACTGAATTAAAATATATTAAAAATAATCAGCTGCAAAAGTTATTTAACTTACTCCAAGATGGAGTGAATAAAAATGTAATACCGATTTCTGCATATTGTCTAGTTATTGCCCAACCGAACATGAACACAATTATGAATAGCAATAGTGGGACAAGAATAATATTGGCTTTTTCAATCCATTTAACTCCACCGGCTAAACAAATACCACTTAAGGCGATTGCCAGAAACTGAGTAAGTACTGGCCAATAGGAATTCTGTGTAAAAAAATGAAGTGAACTTTGATGCATAAAGATTTTATCAGTGAGAAGTAGTGAACTAGAAAAAAGTTTAGTCTATGGAACCCATATTTTGTCTTGCCAAACAACCAAAACATGAATATTTCAGCAAGCTGGACAAATAATTGTTACAGGAGTTTTCCATTAGAATAAAACTTAAAAATCTGAACATTTCTGTAGACTTTTATATCCATAGTTCTACATTGCTGACCGAATTCGACTAAATAATCATCGAACATCAAGAAATACTGAACAGCTGTTTAATTATGGTATGGGCATATGCAGGAGTTTTCATTGAAGATCAGAATTCTAACTCAGGACCTACAGGCCTCTCAGTGAGTCCTTATTGTTCAGACCACTGAATTTATATCCAGCATTCTTTATTCCGAACATTTCGTTTTAACAAAGAAAGTTACTGCTGCCTACAACTACACACCACTCCCTGGTTGAAGTAACTTAAAGTTTGTATAAGGAGAAAAGTGAAGGAAATATTCATCGTGAAATAACTTAGCTTGCTAAAGTCGAAATATTCATTGTTCATGTTAAAAATCGTTACAAATTTGACACGGCTAATTATTTGACTTCACATTATACCATGATTATATCAATAATCGGTTGTCAAGTTTGACTGTAACGATTGTTGTCAATGATTATGGCCAGAAAGACTTGTTTTATTAAATAATCAACAATTACTTAACGTGAATTTTTGATTTAACTAAATATAAAATCAGTAGAACTGATCAATTCACAGTTTTGACAAAGAAATATGTTTTAATTTCTGTAGTCAACTTATTAAGTATATCAACAGTAAATTTGTATTATACATCTTGAAATATTTATCAAACTGTAACATAAAAAACCCATTTCACTTAAAGCATTAAAAACATTGACATACTTCTGCAAAATTATTGAAAATTGATAAACCTTCTTCTTCTGTTTTCGGTAAAGAATACACACAAGATATATAGAAATAATAGATACACCATCCAAGTACAACAGGATAATAACAGCTGATTAAAAAGAAATTACAAATAAAAGACTAAGCTTAACGATATGATATTTTCTGTATAAATCAAAGTTTGTAGAAAATTAAAATTTCAAAATGTATCAAAATCTAAATCAGTCCATGCAAAATGTTTTGTATAGCTCGAAAACAGTTGCCATCAAAAAAGTGTTCTCGATTTGTTACGGTGAACAGATATGTGTTGTTATGATAAGTCACAAAATAGAATAAAATTATTTACAGCTGCTTCATAGCTATCAATTGATCATCAACTGATGCTATTTAAAAGACAGCATTAAGTTTCGAAGAAACAATTAACAAAGTTACTAATTTATTTAAATATGAATTACCAGTATAGGGTTGTTGAGAATATTATCTTTTTGATTCAGATCATGAACCAATTTATGTTAGACCACCATTAGAAACCTGATTCAAACCTAGAGCCTCCGGTCTTGCGCGCAAACGCTTAACTTTTAGATTAATGAATCGGCATCAAACGGTGTCAATGTCAAACTTCAACCAATCCACGGAATTGCGCGACCATCTTCTATTGTACTGAGGTAGATACCTGTCTCTACCTGACATGGATTAGCTCCACTGGCCACGACTTCTCACTAGAACTCCAAGAATTCTCTCATGAAGTTAACCACTAGTGAGCACGTGGTAATTATCAGTATGGAGATTATTATGTTTTTGATTAAGACCATGAACCGATTAATGTTGGACCACCATCGAAAACTTCAATATGTCCTATCAAATGAATCTCTTTAATTTATGATTACACAAACTAAGAAAAATTTAAGTGTAAACGTCTGCTTCGATTATATTTTACTTTGCACTGATTACTTAAAAAATGGTTGCCTTCCCTATGTATGTTTTGAAAAAGTACCTTCTAGAAGTGGCTAAGTTTAAAACAGTTGTTTAATTTTATCATGATACAAATGTATTCATCTAGAATGCAGTAATTTAGCAAAATATACACATATTAACTCTCAAAACAATGTATCTACCTATTTATTTTATTGACTGATGTTCTATATAGTTAGCTGAATAGTTTGTTTGGTAGTGTAGGTCAAGAATTTGACTAATTTCTACATATATATATATATATATATACAACCTTTATATCAAGTGTACACTAATTATCGACTTTAGATTCTTGTTATTACAAAACATCATTTCATAACATAAATTTCATTACATTTATCTTATTTTTACACTTTATACGTAGTTCATAGCACCTTTCCTTTAGTTTAGTGTCATTATTCATCGATCTTATATACCAAACCATATACTAAGATATTATAAAAGTTAAACTATTAGTTGGTAATGATATACTAAAGTAATCTCATTCAAATGACTCAATTTGTTTCTGTGAATGAATCTTACAGAATGTACCACTTTTATTATGCTGAATTATTTCTTGCTAAAAGTCTATTTAATAGTAAGTTGGTTTAATTGTAAGTTTGACATTTAATTCATTTAAACTATAGAAGTATACTTTTCAAAATATATCACATCGCGCATAGTTTCAGTGAATGCGTTTTAAATACATCTATACGTAATACATTTCATTTGTTAAGATTCAAACAGCTTAGCAATCGGATTTATAATGAACTAATTTAGAACAATATGCATGTATAAGTAGTAAATGAAAATACAGTGAATTTATTAAGTTCGATCCTAATTATAAAGTAAACTGCTTGGTAAGATAAGTGCATGAATCAAACTTTATTTTATTTCATTTTTTGTTAATGTATAATAAAGATTTGGTTGTTTATGACTGTTGTTGGTTAACTTTTTATGGTGATACTGAGAAACGTTGATTATGAAAGTGAAAATAACGTTGGCCAAGTCTTACTTGGTATATATCATGAGAGTTGAAACTCTATTTTCATTACATAATTAATGGCTACTGATAACTATCTTAGAATAGAGTTTACATGAATGCGTCTTGCATACAATAATTCACGTTCTTCGCAGCAATACACTATAAATATCTTAATGTGAAGATGGAGAGCTTCATTTGTTTATCTTACCAACTTCATTCATATTATACAAATTTGAAGAAAAGCAAGTTGTATGTGATTATACGATCTGTCTGTTATAAAATAAATAAGTTTCTAGAGATTTCTGGTTATACTTATTGTGCAATAACGATAACTTTCAAACTAATAATACTGTAATAAAAGCAATTCAAGAGGTAATTACACATCTTTTCCTATGTCATCTTTTGTGTGTATCTTGACTGAACACCTTCGAAGGTTAGTAGCAAAAAATTTTTTGTGTGCATTCAGGAGCCTGAGGATACGAAGAAAATGGACTTTTTCTTGTTTATTCATCAATAGTAACCTAGTTTTTATAAAGAAGCTAGACTACTTGATATTGTGTTATAGTATTGGATACAAAATTAATGAATAAATCTAATGTAATGTAGAAAAATCTATCCTAAAATACATCAAAGACTCAACGGTTTATTTGAGCAATATCACTAAGAAGCCAATTATAAATTAGTAAAATATGGATGGTTCGTAATCGTTCAAACAGAACTCGTAGTATACACGGATTTATTTAATTTATATAGCGAATCTGTCAGTACTCTAGAAACCGCTTTGACTCTAGAACCAATACTCGAGAATATTTTGAACAAAAAGTCACAAAAAATACTTCATAGTTTAGCAAAACAACAATGTCTTCCTCCAAATATTCCTAAAGAAGAATTCGGAGCTCTTTGCGCCTTATAAAAGGATAGAACGATTATCATTATCAAAGCTGACAAACACAATACAAAAGTTGTCATGAACTGAAGCGTACACAGAAAGGGGAACACAAATATACAACTACAGAATCACATCTAGAGACTGGTTCAAAAAAATCATTTAATGGTTAAAAATGAAGTCAATCGGAGACAAGTGAACTTTCAAAAGAAGTGAGACCTTAAATAATTATTCAAATGAAATATCTTGAATTGGTTTTGTAGTTTAAGCTAACTAAATGGTATTACAGAAGAATTCCAACGTATTTTGAAAACATACAAATTAAAGTGTTCCATAAAACAACAAACACTTTTCGAAATCCTCTGATTCGAGTTAAAGAAAGATATATTTCATATCTACATATACTTTCGTTCACATGTTAGGTTGTGTCGACCATTATCCATTCCATATTGTTGAGTGTTCTCGTGAAATCTTAACTCGTACTAAGGAATACCTGATCTACACTAAAAGACCGCTTAGAAATCCCGTGGAACTGGTAACTTTACAAATTACTTCGGCAATAGCAGTACAGGCCGTATTTAATAACTATCAGGTCAACATTAAAAAATATTAAAATCATTCTGAAAGTTTTTTCCAACTATATAAAAGGTAAGTAGCGTAGGTGTTTTGAGTAATATTAGATCCCACTTCCCTGAATAGGAAACAATGCCTGAAATTTCATGCAACTTGAATCGGTTATTACAACAGCAATAATTAATTTTGTTCATTTTCCACACCACTGACTCACGTGCACACCTAAATTTTCGTTCTACTACTTCATACTACTACCTCATTTTTTACCCTCATTAGCATACATACAAAGTCATCCTGACCTAAAGTGACATGACATCGCCAGTAGATCTATTTTGATCGATTTAAATGTCTCAACTTTCTCCATTATACTATATATAGGTAATTTGATCCGGTTACATTTTTCGTACTCTGAAGAAGCGGCTTACATTAACTCATGAATCGTCAGAAATTTAAGTTTCTATTCATTTGGACTTTACAAATAAATCATTATTTTATTATTAGTATACACATAGTCATTTTAAGCTATTTAGATCTGTTTAAACAATTTATTTTATGAGAGGAAATATGAAAAAAAAATTACCTCAAAAAGAAAATTACTGTCACCAACCATGCACCTAGCCAGAAGAACTTTTGTCCAAAAAATTTACAAAATGCCAATGGAACAGAATTTCTAGTAAATCTTCCAAGTGAATATTCCACAATAAGAATCGGAATAGACCAAAAAAATAGTATTATAATCCATATAATATAAAATGTTAATGCACCTACAAATATAAGACAATATAATTTAAATCAGAGAAAAGACTTCAAAGGTAATGAATGAAGAATATTATTTTGAATATACTTTCTCATTGTATAGTATACCTACAAGTCTTCCTTTATGCTTGAAATAAATGACTTGTTTCTAATGATAAATTAGAGGATATAGAATTAGTATTCTAAATTCGATATGAAGTTATCTAACACGTAAAGTACCATAAATTATTTAATAAATCGTTACAGTAGAATAATCATTTAAAGCAATTAACTCCTTCGATAAGTTTCGATAGTGTAATAAGAAGATGAAGATTATCAGAACTATGTGATATTTTAAATCCACTTGGTATTGAATATTTTCATTGATATTTGGGACTGCGATTGATTAGTCTCTTATTGGCATATGTCCATATATGATATAATAGCGCAATACATTTCGAACAATCTGATCATACATAATACACTTGTTAAGAACATTTATATATAAAAATAAAAAGTCAACTAGACTAGAAATGGAGGGTAAGAGGAGACAAAGATAATAAGGAAATAATGTGAAAACAAATTGAGACCTAATCACTTTGGATAATAAGCTAATATTACCAGGGTAGATTTAAGAAGAGAACAATGCATTTTTGAGTGCACAAAGAGGGTGTGAATTTTCGTATGGCTAAGTCTTCTATAAACCTTAGTATGCGCCCTCTTGCACTTTTGTACAACACCACAAAAGCCGAGTTAAGATCAATCTTATGACTTGTTTCAATCATACGTTTGAAGAAAATTGAACTCAACCTTTTTCGGTAATCTGTTTGAATGTCATAAGTTATTGAAAAGATGGATTCAATTTTCAAGGCTTATTCACTATAAACATGTAAATAAATGATTATGTCATAGAATAAATTAATATATTAACTATGAAAAAATTAATTAGTGAGTGATAAGTAAAATATTATCCGTAGACATGATCTTGGACCAATAAAATAGAAAAGGTATTTTAAATGTCCAAGAAGTCTACTCATAAGGATACATCAATCAAGCAGTACATGTCAGCTTAACTTATTTTGGAATCAAATCAAGTGACTAACATTTTTGTTGTCTTCAGGATGGAGAGTTTAACACTAATTACTTTAAATATTTATGTGGTATATATTAAATCTACTTTAAATATTTCGCAAGTTTTATTCTACTTCGAGTCAAATACATATGAAGTTGCTTCTAATTTTGTTTATCTAAGCCCATACACACCATAAGAACAAATGTTGCTGGCATCGAAATATTTCAGTAATATCATATCTATTTAATATAATATCAATATACATTAGTTGAGTTTTAATGTACATAATATTAAGTAGGGTAACAAAATACAGTATATACTTCATGTCTGATCCATTATGCCGGATTTACTGTGCAAAAGTTGAGTAATGTATAATGATGCAATATTTTAGTGGTGCTATGTTCTCTGATCTATAAGTTTTGGTTGAAGAGCTTTTATTGTTATTATGGATAACATCTTCAGTATCTGCTCGATTTAGAAGTGAGTTTTTCAGTTATTCCACAAGTTTCATGCCAGTTCATTCTGACGACTATGTTTTTGGTTAGCTACTATCGTAGATTTTGTTGTTTGCCTTGATTCTCACATTCATGTTGACTTTATTTGTCGGCTGACCTATGGCCTTATGATTGGTTGATTCCTTTCTTATGGGTTCATATAGCGGATCTATGTCGATGTAAATGTTGATTACTAATTGATTAAGATGACATGATCCTAGAAATTCTTCACCGTCTTTGAATTCTCTCCTATCCAGAATTTCGACACTTCTACAGTTGAAAGATGTCCATGGCCACCGATATCATAGATTATTAGTGACATTTGTGGTATTTATTAGAAAGTATACTTACCACCGGAAGTGCTATTAGTTGCTAAAATACGTGGAAAGCGCCAGATATTTCCCGTACCTACAGCACCTCCAATACATGATATGATTCCACCAATAGCAGACTGAAACATAGACTTTTCTGCTGTAACTTGTAGCTTGATGGATGATGAAGATGTAAAAGAGGTCCCATCCGTGTTCTAGGGGATAATGATCATAATATCAAAATGTTACTAAAAACAATTCATTGTCAATTTATAATATGCAATAGCTAATAGAATTATATTTTTTTCATGAAATTAACTTAAACCATCATATTGAAATACAAAATAGTTGAAAGTTATCATAAACAAAATAATCTCAATTTAAATCAAGTTTCAAACCTTATTTCTTAAGCCGTTGATCCGTTTCTAATTCAAAATCAGATTTTCTTTCTGTCATCCAAATTAAATGATTTCTTTTAAAGATAGACGTTAACAATTAGTAAAATTTCTATATTTCTAGTTGACAATTAATATAAAGTAGACAATTTAAAGTCCTCATGGTGTACAATAAATAATGAGTTCTAGTCTTCGCAAATATGCTGGAGCTATAACTACTAATCTATAGAGTCTTGGTTTGTATTGCAAAAGAAATATTTGGCAGTCCTTTTGTTATTAAGATCAGTAATCAATCAAAGCTAAACATTCACTTAAAACCCAATAGTGCTGAACAACTGTTCCTTTTTGTTATAACTTGAAAAAGCTGATTTTTCTTGATACAACCGCGTATAACTGAGCACTAAAACACCAAACCCTTCCAAGTCGCAATAAGAAGACAGAAGACTAACGAAAGGAATATTATTCCAAACAGTGTCAAACATAGTACAAAATTGTCAGGTATTTATAGTTTTTAGTGAGAACGAAATCATCATTACAGTCTTCCAATCCGCGTACAGGGGGTTATTAGCATTATCCAATGGGGAAGCTACACGTTGGAATTCTAGAACATTCTTCCGAAAGGTGATTGGATGGAACGTCTTCGGCTCCTTATGAGCCTCTTACAGCTTCCTCGAGTTCACCGGTGGTCCGTCGTCACACTTTTTGTATAGGACTCTTCAGTAGTACACATCCTCGAATCCTCTTCGAAAACGTTTTTCTAAGCGTTTCAACTCATTTTAATCTATACACATATAATGTTAACGAACCATACAGTTAGTACCTAATTTTCACAGCAATCTTCGAATTATTTTCTCGTTTTAACATCTACAATAATTTGTTAATATCCTAATTAATTTTTGGGAAATTCTGTTATGAATAATCTGTTATATTAGCAATACAATTTTATTCATTTATTTCTATTTATTTATTTATTGCGTCATTATTCCAACTCTTTCTGAAGTTGAAATTACATCACACATAACTGGCTGATTTTAATTCATATTTTCTTTATTACCATTAATCTATTTTCATGAGTTCTAATCACTATATCAATGTTCTGGAACTTTCTCTCTCAAACTATATTTATTCGAGACAAAATTTTATGACCTCATTAACTCTATCGGCATCCTCGCTACATCATGATACATTTATTCATCCTTAATCACTCTCTTATGTATAAGTATGTCAATATTTGTAATAATGTTGAATTTTAAATCTTTTAGGTTGTAAGCAGATGATGAGAACCTAACGAAATAAAATGAATTCATATTATTCTGCACCAATCTTTGTTCTTACTCTCTTTAAGATAATAAAGGGAACTATGTGTATGAAATTTTTAAAAAGTTTACTTTTGTAAATGTTTCTCTACTCTCTGTACAATGTACCAAATAGCATTCATCTTACTGAAAAATTATTTGACTTCTTTAAATAAACCAAGACAACCTAACATCCCTAATTATTTTGTGATCAATTATTTATGTAATCATACGAACCAAATGGTTTAATGTTAATCAGTCAAAGATTATTGTTCCTAATGTTTTCAGTCATAATGCATCTAAATGAATAAAATATGGTTTTTTATGTGATTTGAATAAATTTGACAAACAAATTCTGATGTTTAATGTTGTAAACATTATCAAAGTATAAAAATATTTATCATTAAATGTGTTATGTAATATGTAGCTATTTTGAATGTCACTTTTATCATGAACTGATAACAGTTTACAAATTAATAAAATATAACAAACATTAAATGATCGTTGTGTGTTATACTGATTTATTATCAGATGTATCAATGATGTATCATAGTGAACTTGATTACATTATTGATGGTACTTATTGAACAGTTTGGAAGATGTTACAAGGACAAAGATGAACTTCTACGGTATTTATGTATGAAGAAGATACAATAGGTAGTTTATATACAATCTCTACGTAATAAGAGAAATTAAGACATTTAAATATCACCACTAGCTCATAAACACATTATAGCCAACCAGGGTTTTATACAACTCAATATGTTGAAATGATTCAAATGATCAAAATATTATGGAATAACGATGATGTTAAGTACTCTGAGTAAATTAACCAGTTATGGTCAGTTAGAGCTTGTAAAATGATTAGGGGGTATTTCTCATTAAGCGTATACTGGCAAAAGTTTAAAGAATGTCCTAACTGTAGAAAACACTAGTATGGAGCAGTGAATTATTGCTTAGATGACTTGACTATTTGGTCAAATTCTACCTAAATCTGTTTTAAAAACTGTTTGTAATAAGAAAGGTTTATAAAAGAGCGCTTCATTAAACCGTGCTTGGATACTGGATTGAATTAAAAATATTAATCAAACTATATATTTGTATAAACAAATATATTATGTTTTAAACGTACTTGTGAACCAATTTCATTGAGATCAAATTTATCCGTATTGTAGCTAGTATTAATTGATTCTTTTTCAGCGTTCATAATATTCAGTGATCTAGTCATTTCTAATAGTATTAAACCGTAGAATAAATGAACTAACGCCTCTTTATATTTCAAGATAATTTAGTGTGTATATTCTATTGCTGATGTTATTGGTCAGTCATTTACAGTATAAATTAACTCAAATAATAAGTGAATAATTTTGATATCTTAGCATATATATAAAGCCGGCTTTATTTTAAATTCCACCTTACTAGATACTCTATAGATTGTTAAAGTATTTTAGCAGTGAATTAGTCAAACTATAATACAGTGATCATGAGTGTCCATTTTTCTTAGTTGAAATAGACCATAATATTTATTGTTTTCTGTAGATGATGCATACAAATGCTTGAAATTTCCCCTTATTTTATTTGTAGTGTTTGTTCACATGCCTCTATTTCAGTCTTTATAAGTCCTAATGTATGTTACAGCAGATTCACAAAATAGTTGTTTAAACTCGAATCCTTGTTGTACTAAGTTTATCTTTCAACGTAATTCATTTTTGCAAGTATTTTCTACTAGGTTTTGTAATTTTGTTTATTAAACTTCACCAAATGTAGGCTGCCAACGAAACCTAACCAAAGCTAATAAATTCTATTCTAGATAAACTGTTGTTCTTTAACTTATTAAATTACTAAGACTATTTTTATAAACGGCTATTCCTGTAACAAAATTAATCGCTAATAATTCATTTTAGATTAAGATCGGATCCTTCCTATTTTAGTCTGATATGATCAAAACTCACAGAGGAACTTCATTTCTTAGAATATTCCTCATATCGCAAACGTTTTCCAGACTTCAAAGTTTGATATGTGTTAAAAGAATCATACTGAAGTAAGAATGATGATGATCGTAGAATATCGTAAATTTAATAAATTTCATAAGTTTTTACAACTTGCTTATCATATTCATCGAAGTAACAAGATGTAGTTTTCGGTCTTAAGGATATCATAATATTGGATTTTGAGAACTAGTGAGTTTGGATGTTTGAAATGATATAGACTGTTGATGAAGTTGTCGATAAGTTAAAGTATAAAATGGATTACTTGAAAAATTTAAGACGAAAATTAGTGATAAGTTATATAATAAATAATATTTATCTCTTAAAACTGAAATAGATTTAATCCCTTGTATCTTCAAGATGACTACACATTTGTATCTCCACTAAGATTCATTAGTGTAATGTGCACAGTTATTCAAGAATTATAATATATTAGTTGCATTCACCAATACGTCCTGACAAATGTCATGGTATATCGCGAATCAACCAAAGTTAGAATTGTAAAATTACGCCCTCTGCTGAGAGTCCTGAACGTTCTAACTTCGACATTTTATGTAATCATAATTGTATACTACTGAGAAACAGTGCAATTCACCCTAGTTTTTGATAATGCCTCTATTAAGTTCAAACTGTGAAAATAAAACTCGTGAATCAAACAAATGCCTTTCAACTAAACAGGCGAACAGTTTACTAATTGCCAAAATCCTTGTTAATTTACAATGAAATACATACAAGTTCACAATGTTCACACTTTATTTACTTAACTAGACCTTAGAAAATGTTCTACCAGAAAAACATCAATAAACTTTTACTGACATGTGATGTTAAATAACATAATTTATTGATTTATTTATTTACTGTTAATATCACGTGAACACATAACAACAAGAACAAAAACAAAAACATTTTTGTTCATCATAAACAAATTACATTTCACTTGACAACAACTGAAAAATAACTTTTAACTATCCTTTAGTAAAAGTAAAATGAAATGTCAAAAAAAATTGATGAGAAAAAACAAACAAAAGAATGAAATTTTTCAATGAATATTTGTAGCTAATATTCTATTCTATTTAAGGAAATAATAATTAGTTAAATTCAATATATATTACTATTGTTTCCAATATCATTACAGATTAGTTTCATTATGATATTTAGGTGATGAAACTGAAAAGTATTTGATGTTTACTTTTTTGGTGAATGTAATTATTGAATAATACAGTTAAACTATATGAATGTGACAAAATAAAGAAAAAAATATATTCAATAATTATTTGTTTTGGTATTGTTCCACTAGACAACTATTTTTATCAAAATTTATTTATGAATTTAAGATGCATACAGTAGACAAGCAGGAAACTAGTCAATAAAGTAGCAAAAAAATAATTAACCATAAAATGTTTCATTTCAATTAATTAATAAGGTGGGTTTCGTGGATATTATAGTAATTTCAATGGTTAAGATCATTAGTCAGCTGAAGCTAGACCACCATCGAAAACCTAGAAGCACTAGACGGCCTTTTTGTCCTATTGTGGGACTCCTCAGCAGTGCGCATCCACGAAATCGCCCCCTGCGAGATTCGAACCTGGGACCTACTGGTTTCGCACGCGAGTACCTAACCACTGCTGAGGAGTCCCACAATAGAACAAAACGGCCGTCCAGTGCTTCCAGGTTTTCCATGGTGGTCTAGCTTCAACTGACTCATGATCCTAACCATTGTAATTAATAAGAGTTTACTATTTTATTGGTTCACAAAACATGATTAATACAAATGAGTTACATAATGGCAATTTTAGAATCTAATTTCGTAATATAATTTTTTAAAAATATAGATTGAAGAGAAATTTAATGAAATCCCTTCATTGCATGTTTTCACCAACCATAATGAAGCAATTAAATCAGGCAATGAAATCTTATTACATTGTCTTATCATAATTATATCAAATAATCTACGTGATAGTTTTCACTATGATATATGAATGATTATTGTATGATTAAGTGAAGTTAATGTTTACATAATTACTATTTTAAAACTGAGAATAGATTCTAGATTGTCTGATATAGTAACAAAAGATCATAGAGCTAAAATAATTCATCGACTATATAATGACGTAATTGAAAAATAACTTTTAACTATCCTTTAGTAAAAGTAAAATGAAGTGTCAAAAAAAAATTGACGAGAAAAAACAAACAAAAGAATGAAATTTTTCAATGAATATTTGTAGCTAATATTCTATTCTATTTAAGGAAATAATAATTAGTTAAATTCAATATATATTACTATTGTTTCCAATATCATTACAGATTAGTTTCATTATGATATTTAGGTGATTAGACTGAAAAGTTTGTGATGTTTTCTTTCTACTTACTTACTTACTTACGCCTGTTACTCCCAATGGAGCATAGGCCGCTGACCAGCATTCTCCAACCCACTCTGTTCTGGGCCTTCTTTTCTAGTTCCATCCAATTCTTGTTCATTTTTCTCATGTCTATCTCCATTTCTCGGCGTGATGTGTTCTTTGGTCTTCCTCTTTTCCTTTGGCCTTGAGGATTCCATGTGAGGGCTTGTCTTGTGACACAGTTGGGTGCTTTCCTCAATGTGTGTCCTATCCACTTCCAGCGCTTCTTCCTGATTTCTTCCTCCGCTGGGATCTGGTTTGTTCTCTCCCACAGTACGTTGTTGCTAATAATGTCCGGCCAATGGATCTGAAGTATTTTGCGTAGACAATTGTTAATAAACACCTGTATTTTCTGGATGATGGCTTTCGTTGTTCTCCAGGTTTCTGCCCCATACAGTAGAACTGGATGTTTTCTTTTTGGGTGAATGTAATTATTGAATAATACAATAGTTAAACTATATGAATGTGACAAAATAAAGAAAAAAACATTCAATAATTATTTGTTTTGGTATTGTTCCACTAGACAACTATTTTTATCAAAATTTATTTATGAATTTAAGATGCATACAGTAGACAAGCAGGAAACTAGTCAATAAAGTAACAAAAAAATAATTAACCATAAAATGTTTCATTTCAATTAATTAATAAGGTGGGTTTCGTGGATATTATAGTAATTTCAATGGTTAAGATCATTAGTCAGCTGAAGCTAGACCACCATCGAAAACCTAGAAGCACTAGACGGCCTTTTTGTCCTATTGTGGGACTCCTCAGCAGTGCGCATCCACGAAATCGCCCCCTGCGAGATTCGAACCTGGGACCTACTGGTTTCGCACGCGAGTACCTAACCACTGCTGAGGAGTCCCACAATAGAACAAAACGGCCGTCCAGTGCTTCCAGGTTTTCCATGGTGGTCTAGCTTCAACTGACTCATGATCCTAACCATTGTAATTAATAAGAGTTTACTATTTTATTGGTTCACAAAACATGATTAATACAAATGAGTTACATAATGGCAATTTTAAAATCTAATTTCGTAATATAATTTTTTAAAAATATAGATTGAAGAGAAATTTAATGAAATCCCTTCATCGCATGTTTTCACCAACCATAATGAAGCAATTAAATCAGGCAATGAAATCTTATTACATTGTCTTATCATAATTATATCAAATAATCTACGTGATAGTTTTCACTATGATATATGAATGATTATTGTATGATTAAGTGAAGTTAATGTTTACATAATTACTATTTTAAAACTGAGAATAGATTCTGGATTGTCTGATATAGTAACAAAAGATCATAGAGCTAAAATAATTCATCGACTATATAATGACGTAATTGAAAAATAACTTTTAACTATCCTTTAGTAAAAGTAAAATGAAATGTCAAAAAAAATTGACGAGAAAAAACAAACAAAAGAATGAAATTTTTCAATGAATATTTGTAGCTAATATTCTATTCTATTTAAGGAAATAATAATTAGTTAAATTCAATATATATTACTATTGTTTCCAATATCATTACAGATTAGTTTCATTATGATATTTAGGTGATTAGACTGAAAAGTTTGTGATGTTTTCTTTTTACTTACTTACTTACTTACGCCTGTTACTCCCAATGGAGCATAGGCCGCTGACCAGCATTCTCCAACCCACTCTGTCCTGGGCCTTCTTTTCTAGTTCCATCCAATTCTTGTTCATTTTTCTCATGTCTGTCTCCATTTCTCGGCGTGATGTGTTCTTTGGTCTTCCTCTTTTCCTTTGGCCTTGAGGATTCCATGTGAGGGCTTGTCTCGTGACGCAGTTGGGTGCTTTCCTCAATGTGTGTCCTATCCACTTCCAGCGCTTCTTCCTGATTTCTTCCTCCGCTGGGATCTGGTTTGTTCTCTCCCACAGTACGTTGTTGTTAATAGTGTCCGGCCAATGGATCTGAAGTATTTTGCGTAGACAATTGTTAATAAACACCTGTATTTTCTGGATGATGGCTTTCGTTGTTCTCCAGGTTTCTGCCCCATACATTAGAACTGGATGTTTTCTTTTTGGGTGAATGTAATTATTGAATAATACAATAGTTAAACTATATGAATGTGACAAAATAAAGAAAAAAATATATTCAATAATTATTTGTTTTGGTATTGTTCCACTAGACAACTATTTTTATCAAAATTTATTTATGAATTTAAGATGCATACAGTAGACAAGCAGGAAACTAGTCAATAAAGTAGCAAAAAAATAATTAACCATAAAATGTTTCATTTCAATTAATTAATAAGGTGGGTTTCGTGGATATTATAGTAATTTCAATGGTTAAGATCATTAGTCAGCTGAAGCTAGACCACCATCGAAAACCTAGAAGCACTAGACGGCCTTTTTGTCCTATTGTGGGACTCCTCAGCAGTGCGCATCCACGAAATCGCCCCCTGCGAGATTCGAACCTGGGACCTACTGGTTTCGCACGCGAGTACCTAACCACTGCTGAGGAGTCCCACAATAGAACAAAACGGCCGTCCAGTGCTTCCAGGTTTTCCATGGTGGTCTAGCTTCAACTGACTCATGATCCTAACCATTGTAATTAATAAGAGTTTACTATTTTATTGGTTCACAAAACATGATTAATACAAATGAGTTACATAATGGCAATTTTAGAATCTAATTTCGTAATATAATTTTTTAAAAATATAGATTGAAGAGAAATTTAATGAAATCCCTTCATTGCATGTTTTCACCAACCATAATGAAGCAATTAAATCAGGCAATGAAATCTTATTACATTGTCTTATCATAGTGATATCAAATAATCTACGTGATAGTTTTCACTATGATATATGAATGATTATTGTATGATTAAGTGAAGTTAATGTTTACATAATTACTATTTTAAAACTGAGAATAGATTCTGGATTGTCTGATATAGTAACAAAAGATCATAGAGCTAAAATATTTCATCGACTATGTAACGACGTAATTGAACATATATTTTTTAGTGTTGAATTGTTTACTTTCTTCAAAAACAGTTTAGTTTGATTGTTTATATTAAGTAAAGGATCGTCATTAAGACTTTGCATAACAAACATTTATAGGGAAGCCGAGTTTGAAATAATGAATGGAAAGAAACACAAGTAAATTGAACCACTAATTAACTTCTTATAGTGATCAATTATAAGACATTGTTAATCATTCAATATTAACCACTGTAGGGAGCAATTTCCTACAGGTTTAATTGTAAGCTATTCTCTAGACCGTCGAATACAGAGTCTTGGTTTTGCCAAAGTCAGAACAAGTAAGCTATTTGGCTATATAAACTTTATCTGTTTCTAAAACATAAATTAACATCGTTAGTGTACAAACAAACAGTACAGTCTATTAATACAGGGAAAAAGAGACAAATAACATACCGAACAGTAGCCAGAGAATAGGAAAAATGAGTCAACAAGCAAATATTGTTTTACAATGAACATTAAACTGTGATTGGTTAATAAAGAGATACAGTCGTACAAGGTCAAAAGGAGTTAATGTGGTGGTGGGCGTTTCCCTTTATTATTGGTGGGTTCGTTTATCGATCACATTTTACACTCCTTTCGAAACGCGCACCACGTCCATTGTCCAGGGTCGTCGTCGCCGTCAGATAACCGGCTTCTTCCAGCAGGCATAGGCTTTGCACATCTCTGACGATTTCTTTGTTTGAAGTTCTCAACTTTGCCGTGCGGACTCGTGCGTCATAGCTTACTTGCTGGACTATAGCCTTAGGCCATAGACCTCTATTCATTTCGACGTTACTAACGAGGACTAAGTCACCCGGTTGTAAGTTCTTGTGTACGTCCACCCATTTGTCTCTTGCTTGAAGATTCTGTAAATATTCTTTTATCCATCTTTTCCAGAATGCGGTGGTTAGTCTTTCAGCTTCTTTCCATCTTTTGTTGTATAATAACGTCTTATCCACCGAAGCATCGTCGAATGATAATTTTTTATGAATCAACAACTTGTTCGGAGTAAGAGCTTCTAGGGTATCAGGGTTATCTGTCATTCAGTATCCGTTCCGCCTCAGTTAAGAAGGTTTGCAGAATTTCATGGTTTTGAAATAAAAGCACTATTAAGATTCTTCTAATTGATCTTATGATGCGTTCCCACACACCACCTCGATGACTTGCTCTAGGTGGGTTAAAACGCCACTCACATTCTCGTTCTTTAAGGTGGTTTTCTATTTTATTAGTATTCCAGGAACGTATAATCTGTCTCAAATTGGAATCTGCACCTCGGATGTTTGTGCCGTTATCACAAAAAATACGCTTTGGACATCCTCTTCTGGCAATAAATCTTGATAATGCGCATAGAAATTAATCCGTATCTAAAGAGTAGGCCATTTCGATGTGAACGGCTCTAATAGATAAGCAGGTGAATAAACAGCCATAACGTTTCTCGACAACTCTATCACGTTTGACATAGAACGGTCCGAAGCAATCCACACCTACTTGACTAAAGGGTGGCGAATGAGTCTCTACTCGGTATTCCAGCAACAGTGCCATTAATTGGGAACATGGTTTAGGATAAAGTCTTCTACATAAATAGCATCGTTTTAGAACCTTCCGAACAGTAGAATATCCTCTAACAATCCAATACTCCTCACGAATACTACTCAGAGTTTGAGTAACTCCAACATGTGCGTTAATCACATGATAACGCATTATAATCATATCTCTAACAAAATGATCATTAGGAAGAATAATCGGATATTTGGTTTCAAAGGGTAAACATGATAACTGCAAACGTCCTCCCACGCGGATTTTGCCTTCAAACATAAAAGAGTTGAGATTTCTTATAGAACTTTCACGAATTAATTTTTTTCTCCTGTTCACCTCGTCCATTGCTTCTTGACCTTTTTGCTGTCTAAAAGCGTTTTCTTCGAGCGTTAACGGTGAGCTGTTTAGAATTCTTTTTTCGGCCGGGTACGCGATACTTTGGATTAGTTTAAATATGTCACTCTTCGAATTTTCGATATCCTCAGCACTTAGCGCACCTAAGGTTAGACGATTTCCGTTCCTCTTGTTTAACATATTATTGATAAGCCGTCTGCAGTATGAAACTACCCTTAGAAGTCTGGACCACGACTTGCACGTACGAAATCGATCTAGGAACTCATCATCGTGTCTTGGGAGTCCGAAATCCTCTGTCAATACATGGGCTATAGTGTTCTCAATCTTTTCTAGGTTAGGCCACTTATTTTCTTCCTCCTACAAGAATCTCGGCCCTTGTAACCACTGTCTTACCTTAGCCTTATCATTTAGTGATAATCCACGAGACGCGTGATCTGCAGGATTCAATTTACCTTTCACATATCTCCATTGGCTCGGCGTAGACAACTCGTGTATAGTTTCTAACCTGTTACTCACAAACCTTTCAAACCTTTTAGTCGTATTTTTTGTGCAATGAAGCACAACTGTCGAATCGGCCCAATAAATGACTGACGAAATGGGGATACTTAACTGTTCCCTTACGTGCCTCCCAATATTAGCACACAGGCCGTTTATTCCATTCTGGGTGTGGTAACAAGTTTTAGAGGAGTAACCCTAGACTTAGCTAGCAGGAATGAACAATGGATTTGACCAGAAACACATTCATAACGAATATCCGCAACAACGCCATACGCAAGCTCGGATGCGTCGGCAAAACAATGAATTTGCGCAGATGATGGTTCAAACCCTGGTTTCAAACATCTTGGTATTCTCAAGTGGTCTAACCCTTTTATACGTCTACACCAATTATTCCACTTTGCTTGACAATCTATGGGTAACTCGGCATCCTAGTCTAGTTTCTGACAACAAGTATTTTGTAAGATCACTTTAGCCGATAATAGTATTGGGGCTACAAACCCAATTGGATCAAAGATAGATGCTACGTACGATAAAATATTTCTTCTGGTTGGGTTTCCGTGAAATTCATGAACTTTGAAATATAACTCATCTGTTCGGACGTTCCACTTTATTCCCAGAGTTCGTTTACTTGTCTCATTGGACTCACAGACAATAATGTTTCCTTCAGCACGGTCTTCTTCTGGAATGAACTCCAGCACTTCAACGCCATTACTAGTCCATTTAGTTAAGTTAAATCCTCCCAAACTTAGGAGTTTTTTAAAGTGCGAATATGTCCGTTTGGCTTCTTCTATGGTATCCACACTTATCAATAAATCATCCACATAAAACTGTTCTTTAGCTGCTTGCGTAACAGCCCTGAGAAATTTATCTTGATTATCAGAAATCGTTTTTTGTAAAGCAAAGGTGGCGCAACATGGCGATGAAGTTGCCCCGAACAGATGAACTTTCATTCTATAGATCTCGGGTTCCTTTTCTAAGTCTCTACCTGGCCACCACAAATATCTAAGAACATCTCGATCATGCAGCGGAACTATTACTCGATGAAACATGACTTCAATGTCCGCCGTAAGACCTACTGGTCGTTGCCGGAACCTGTTGAAAACGTCTGCTAGGTTATTGACTAAATCAGGCCCAGAATAAAGGTTCTTATTTAAAGACGTTCCAGCATACTGAGCTGCATAATCGAACACTATTCTTAGCTTGTTAGGTTTCTTGGGGTGGAAGACTGGATGATGAGGAAGATACCAAATTCGCCCATCAGAGTGGTTATCGTTTACCTTTTCAGAGTAATCTCGTTCTACATACCGAGTCATGGAGTCTACATAGTCTTGGAACAACTTCTCATCCCGAATAAGTCTACCTTTCAAACAGCTAAGTCTACGTTCTGCTAATTCTCTGTTATTGGGTAACTTGTGGTTGTGCCTCCAAGATAGAGCTATTTGATAGTGTCTTAGGCTCTCCTTCTAAATTCAACCTTTTAGCTAGATCTTCTGTAACAAGCGAGGCATCCGACCCACTATCTAAGAAGGCGCAAGTCTGTGCTACCTTTTCTCCATTTCTTACCAGTACAGGCACTATTGCGAATGCTGCTTGTTTCTGTACACGCTCAACTCTTTTCTCCGTACATAGCTGGGTGTTAGTGCGTGCATCAATATTAGTATTCCTTGGTTCTTCCGACAACTCGTGTAACAGAGTATGGTGTCTCCAGCCACACCCTTCGACAGCACACGACCTCGGCGATCGACAGATTTTTGCTACGTGGTTTGCCTTCAGGCATACATTACACAACTTGTGTCTAAGAACAAATTCCTCCCTTTCTCTAACATTCTTGTCTTTGAATTTCTGACATTGATCTAAAGAATGATTACTGGAGCACTCCAAACAAGATGAACTGCGTAAGAGAGCATTATCATCACTAGCACTCGCATAAGATATTCTTGCTG